CAGCGCAGGGTGACAGCGTCATCCATGCTGGCCCACACGTCCTGCACTGGGAGCATCGACAGGGACACGAGTGAGAGAAACGAGGGTTGGCCCCGAGGGCAGCCCAGCTCCGGGATGGGGCTTCGCCCAGCCCAGGTGCCCAGACTGGCCGTGTCCCCATACTTGGGCAGTCCAGGGGGAAGGGGCAGTCCGTGAGGCGGCAGGTAGCGCACTGGAAGAAGCGGGCAGCCGGCTGGGACCCTGGGAGCGGGTCTTGTACCCTGGAAGCGAGAGACATGGAGGTCCCAAGGGGAACGGGAGACATGCCAAGGGACAGGGGTGGGGAGCAAGACAGAGGGGTGGGGACTCACCACAGGGCGGGATGCAAGCTGGAGCTAGAGGGGAGGAAGCAGCATTAGACGGGGGGATTCACATCCCTGTGATGAGCTGTCAGGGCTCAGCCCTTGCCCAGCCCAGATGGGGTTCCTGGGGGTTTCTTGAGGATAAGGGTGCACCCAGGGTGGGGGTCTCTGTGACAGCCCCTTGAGGGGAGGTTTCAGGGGTTCCCCAGGGTAGGCGTCCCCACTGCCCCCCTACCTTCCTCCAGCCAGCTCAGTTTATCCCAGATGCTGTCGACGGCTTCCTGCAGAGATACCTCAAAGGACTCTGGGGTGTCCCAGATGTCCAGGTGAGACAATATGCCCTCCCTCAATCCCCATAAGCCCTCCCCAGACATCAACAGATCCCCTGTACAAACTCATCTCAGCTTCATACATCCATCCTGGAGGCTCACATATCCCCAAATACTCCCCTCAAAAAAGCAAACAACCCAGAAGCTGTACATGCCAAAGCCCCTGTACCCTCAGGATATGCCCCTACAGCCCCCAGCCCTCCACATACCCTGTATTTTACCACACACCTCCCCATTTCAGGTCTCCACATGCCACTGCCCCTGTCCTGGCCCTACCCCTTCAAGTGTCCCCTGGCCCCTGCTCACTCTTGCCCTTCTGCTTCAGTAGAAAATCCATGGCATCTGCGACGATCGCCTGAAGTGCCGGGCGCTGCTCTGATCCTGGGACCAGCACAGGGTTGGGGTTGGAGGTTCAGGGGTGAAAGAGTCCGGTAAGGACTGGAGGTTTCCAGGGTTTTCTGGAGTCCTTATCGGGGTTTACAGATACTGGGAGGGGTCGGGTATCCCTGGGGATTCCTAAGGTAGGGCCAGAGCATCCCAGGTAGCCCCCAGCGTGTCCCTGGTCAGGGTTGGGGTTCCCAGAGGTCTCTGGGGTCCAAGTCAGGTCCAGGGAGACCTTGGCATGTTTGGAATCCCTATGGTGCTTGTCAGGACTGGGCCCCTGGGGTCCTGGCCAGTGTCAGGGTCTTGGTTGAAATGGGGAACCCAGAAGGCTCAAGGGTGAGTGTCCCCTGCTTTGGGATGGAGGTGCCAGTCAGGATGGGGGTCCTTGGACAGGGTCCCTGGTGGCTTGGGTGTCCCTGGGGTCCCACGACGTACCCACAGTGACAGTGGAGAGTGGCACAGCAGCCTTGACAAGGGCCTCAAGGCACTGCTGATGTTGGGGGGTGTTGATAAAGGCCCCAGTAATGTCATGGCAGAGCTTTTCCCGCTGAGCGTGGGGCCCAAAGCAGAGCAGGCAGGGCTGCACGCCAGGGAGCCAGGACACCAGGGCTACCCACCGCCACAAGCCAGGTGCCCCTGCCTGGAGGCCTGGGCTTCCAGGGAGCCAGAGGGGCAGCACCAGCACCAGGGGCACCCACCACCACCCCATGGCCCCCGAGCACAGCGTCCCAATGCCTGGGTCTCCAGGAAACATCAGGGTTCCTAGGCGGAGCTTGGGCACCTGGGTCTCCAGGGAACACAGGAGGGTTCCTAGATGGAACCCAGGCACCTGTGTCTCCAGGGGCCAGTGAGGCTCCTAAGCAGGTCCCCAATACTGGGGTCTCCTCTTGAGAGGAGCGGGGATACCCAGAGGCACAGGTGTCCCAGCGTGCATGGGCTGGAGAAGGGGCTGCCGTCACTGCACGATGGATTCTCAGAAGGGAAGAAGGGACATGAAGTGTAAGATGTCAGAAATTGCAGAAATGGGAAAAGAGCACCTTGTGACATCTGTGGTGAACTACGTGCTGTGGCCAGTGTATCATCATCACAGGAAAGATTTTAATTTTAGCTTTTAGAACAAGATATTTATCATAGAATCATAGAATGTTAGGGGTTGGAAGGGACCTCTAGAAATCATCTAGTCCAACCTCTCAGTGTGAACATTTAACAACATTAACATTCATTTTTACATCAACATGTCACATGCTCAACTGTGCTGCTCCTACTTTAGCTACAGCTGCATATCATCTGCTTCCCCAGAAGTCCTCAGACTGAAGACTGATGGTCGAACAGACATTTAAACACATACAAAACCACAAAACGCAAGTAAGTTTCACTAATGAGGCAGACATTTTGCTGCATGCACCTCTCCATCAGGAACAAGCCCAACTTTAGCAGACACCAAGAGCATCTTTGGTCTTTGTCTAATCTGGAAGCTGTGTTTCACAGAACTGGGAAACAATGTACGCAAAGTTTGCTGGAGCAGCAGAAGCAACAGAAAGTGCTTGTTCTAGTGAGAAACTATAAAGAGAACAGAAGCTTTGCATTCCAAACAGAGGATTCCCCCAGGAATGAGAGGTATTTGAAAATGTCCATTTCTACATCTCGAACTAAAAGCTGAGGTTTCTCACAGAGAAATGCAAATCAATAAAGTAAACCAAGAAGTGTTTGGGGAAGAAAAGGAAAACATTTAGCAGGCAAACACTAAAGTGTTGAGCAGCTCTGTGGGAGCCATTTCCCGTGGACCAAACCAAAAACATAATTAGTCTATTGTGTAGGTAAACACCAAGCTCACGTACAATTTTCTTTTCTCATCCCAAAAATCTCCTGGCCCACTGGCTGCCTAGGATCCTTTCTACAAAAGTACAGTACCACCATGCCGATAAGTCTGTGTGTAAAAACACCTGGGGAAGGCAGGTTTAGGAAAGTATAAAGCATTTCTTCGAAAGTGCATAAGTAGTAAACAACACTCCTCTGGGTCTGTATGTTCACCATCACCCAAAAGACAGCAGCCACTTTACACTGACAGTTTTGGTGCTCCCAGCTCAGGTTACCTGCTCGGAAGCTGAACGGCAGGGCTCTGACTGCAGTACCCTGTCTCTTAGGTCGACGCCTGTCCGCAGGCAGAGCTGTGCAACAGTCCTTGTACAGGTGCATTTTGCAGCAGCCAGGAAGGTGGCCGCCAGGTTCTACCAGTCTGGTGAGGAAACAGGAGGCTTCAAATGTAGATCACATCCGAGTCGTGCTGAAAAACCAAAGGGGAAAAATCAGTTTTGCCCTGAATTCCTACTTAAAGCAAAGTAACTCCCTTCGGTCCAGTTCTTCCTTTACCTCCAACTCTGGCTTTTTGCAAGATGCTCTGAAATAGCTTTTTCTTCCTTCTTAAAACGAGTATATTTGCCTCAAACAGCAGGATTAAGTTAGCCTTTAAAAGCTAACTTCTGTTACTTGCATTAGAAAGAGCTGCTTCCTCATCTGTTGCTACACTCAGTTGTGTTCCTTCTAGCTCTAAGCTGTGTGCCCTGAAGATTCAGGTCTTGAACATTGCATGATAGAGCCTTTGACTGATCCTAAACCCCCTCACTTTTGTTCTTATAAAACAGCAGCAAATGCAACCTTTCTTTACTCCCAGTACGTTGCACAATTAGCACTGCCTAGAGAAATCCAATTCCCTGCCCACTGTTCAAGACCACATGCGCTCGCAGCACTTCTCGAACACATACTGGATTCTCCATCCTAGTAAAATTTAGAAGCAGGTTGTTTTCTCATAAGACCCAGCTCATCAGGACTCTTTGAAGGGGAACACCCTGGAAGAGAGTTAACTGTTGGAAGTCTAGGCATTTACTTGTATTTTACTCCCCAGCCCTTAAAACCAGCAGATAGGCATAGAGCATGTTCTCATTTCCAAGCCTGGCTGATACAAACAAAATTTAACACAAATCCTCCTACTGCAGACAGGCATCAGTTTTATTTGCCAAGGCTTAATAGCTTCACGTTCCAGCTGAGATCATAAGTGAGAAAAAAATATGTGGCCTCAAGTTATAAATAAAGTTGTATCAGTGAAGAGTCTCCAAACTCAAGCACCAGCCACACATTTACCCTTCAATTGCCAGAGATGGAAAAAACCAGGTCCCTAAAGCCAGACATACTTTACCTCTCTCTTTCTCTACACTTTCAGGCAACATTTTGGGATTTACAAATCCTTTATAATACCTTTATAATTGGTCTTCTGGTTCCTGTGCCCACACTGTTGGCAAGCAAGGCATTTGCTTGAAAAGATGACTTCTCCACCGGCACCGCGTGTTGAATTTTGTTGGTACAAGGCCAGCTGCTTGTGGTATTTAGCGAGTAAGCAGGGAAAGGTCTTTGTGGATTTACATCCAACGCATCTCCACTTTCGAAGGTTTTCATCCACGACGGGGCCTTTAAAAGAAAAGAACACACGGAAATGTATTGCCCTCTCTGTATCAACACTCATTAAGCTAAAAAGAACATCAGATGTATAGCCAGAAAGTAAAGGTCATCTTCCCTCATAATAGTCCCAAGCCTCCCTTCTCCCTCTAAAACTATTGACTCAGAGCCGTTTTTGCTACATGTGGAACACGGAACCTTGAAAGACAAAGCCAGCCCTACTCTTGCACTGGTTCAGGAAGAGGCTCAAGTGTTTATATAAAAGCAAGAAGAAACAAAAAAAATTTGGGTTTAGTTCTTCACTGCCTTAAAAAACAAAATACACCACGACTTCTGACTTTTCACAACCACAAAGCACATGAATGAGAATGCAACACAAACTACGAGGAACCACATTTAAATGTGTTACTAAGTTACAACAACTTAGTTTGAACCAAGACCTTAAATCCTTACTGCGGTTTCATAATCTGTGAAAATAATTTCTTATTTGTTGGATTATGGTACTGGTATCCTGCCCACAAAAGCCTTAGAATTTGTTTTGACATGAATTTTCCTTGTCTGTGTTCATGCTTTGAATATTTTACTATCACGGGTATTAAAGCACGTGCTTTGAGTTGAAATACAGCAATTACCTTGAGCACACTCCCACTATTCTCTTCTGTGGTTCAGGCTGAAACAGTAGCAGGTATTTCGCATACGTACGTTTCCTAAGGAGCGATCCAAGGATCCCAGTACTTCAGTCCAACGAGAGTAAAGTCCAGACTGTTTTTCTTCTAGTTTCAAAGCATGAATCTCAGACTTCAGTTCTTTCAGTCGATCTTCGAATTTTCTGCTCTTTTCTAAGTAGTCTAGCCTGTACTCCACACATGGGAGGCAAAAAGCTTATTAGCACGACATAGCTTGGGAACAGGTGCGTGCGGAAGGAGAAGTTCCATTTCGTTTTGTTTCTTTGATAGGCAAAATGAAGGCTGACACGTCAGCCTGACTCGCCTGACCCAGTGAGAAGGTTCACTTCCACCCCTCAGCATTCACACACTTAGTAACGTTCCCAGGCCTTTGTGTTCCTTTCAGACCAAGAGAGGAAAAGCCAGAAAGCAGTCCCACACTTCAGCACTAGAGGGAACTTTCTGTCCTCTAACATGCTGTTACTCTGGCAAGGTACTTTTCCCCTGAGACAAAGCCCTCCAGGACAGAAGGGCTCTGGACTTGTCATGGCCTGGTGCCACCAGAACACTCTTCCTCTGTGTGAACAACTGGTCTTACACAGTCATAACACATAACAGCTCAATGAAAGGCCTCCAATCACACGTACAAGTAGGAGGCCATCTCGAGTTGCTAAAAGGATGAATTGTGATTCCCAGAGATTTTTCTTTTCTTTTCTGTACTTTCCATTACTAACATTCTCAGTTATTTACACCATAAGCATACTGATACCTCTCTCTTTCTATCTCAAAGGAGAGTCTCTTGAGGTCAATGTCCTTCAAATCCAGCTTCATGGGCCCTTTGTCAAAGTTGGCATCTCTGGTGTCAGTCGGCGAGTATTGCGGGTACTTGACCATGTGCTGAAAGAGGCAACACAAGCTCTGTCACTGAGATCTGATAGTTTGACTTCAGGTGTACCTCCCCAGCTTCTGCAAGAACGCCATGCAGAGCCAATTTGCAAGATAGCCATGGAGTCTGAGACACACAGATGTTCCTGCAGCCCCTCCCCTCTACCTGAACGGCCCCAGATGAACTCAAGTGCACAACCCACCAGTTCAAGGGGAGAGAAGCATCCTGGCTACAACATTCCTATTTCTTTCAGCAGAGAGTGGAAATCCATTCTCAGCAAGACCAGAGCAGAAGGCATTGGGGCACACAGGCTTAGCGCTGTCTTATTGCTGGAGACAGCTTCATCTGCTGTGCCTCAAGACACTCATGGGCAATTCACATGCCAGGGCAACAGAGCTCGCTCGGTACAACCACCTCCACGAAGTATTACCCAACCAAGACGGCAGGGAATCAGTATTAGACATGAACGCAGGCAAGACAATCTCCACTCCCCGAGCTCTGCTTTTAACTTTTGTCTTGCCTTTCTTATCACCCTGACTCATTGCCCTGAACAAATACAACTTCCAGCCAAACTGTCTGAAAGCACCATTTGGTCCTGTAGGTGTTAGTCCCCTCGCTGGATGCAGACAGGCCCTTATTCAGCTTGACAGAGGCTCTAAAAGTGCAATCAACACCTGACACTCTCTGCAGATGGAATGGTGACCAGCAGAGCAGAAACTTACAGGATAATTAAGTCTGGTTATATCTAAGAGTTTCTGCTTCGCTTTCCGTTCGGCCTCTCTGGCCTCATGCAGATCTTGTTTCAGATGCTCTGCTTCCTTCGCTCTGTAAGGCAAATACCCCAATGTGAACAGTTGACAATTTCCAGTATAAAGCAACACGTGGATTTCAGAGCTATGCACCTCACTGTCTTCCAGAGAACAAGATCCATTGCTGGGAATGATTCCGTTACCCAAAGACACTTGTGGTAGGATGGTCACATGGAGAACCAGCTGGACACAGCATGACACATGCTTTCAAAGACAATCCTGCACAAACTGGCTGAGTTAACATGTTTTTCCCACTCCTAATTTCCATGGGCTCGGTTCTGACCTGCTGATACAGATTCTCCAGGCTATCAGAGATCCTCCCTGAGGTGGAGAGAGGTGCAACATATCTGCTCTTTGTCTTGGCAAGCTTTCTGGCAGTGTCTTAAAACAAGCAGAAAGCCCTCAATACCAACACTTCTCTGCTCTGCATCTTCAGGCAGCACAGGGTTATGGAACATGCAAGCATCTATAGAGCTGTTTATATTCCATGTGAATTTACTTGGTTTACACTTCTCAGAGATCTGAACGGGCTACAAGAGACCATCACCTGGAACTAATGAATGCAACCAGCCTCAAAAGTCACAGGGTACACAGACCAGTAAATGTGGATAGCTAGGTAATCAGTGGTCTTTTGATAATGCTAAATAGAAAATGATTCTGCATTCTGGATCTTTTATACCAAGCATCTCTAAAGCCTCGCATCTCATTCTCTGTAAACTTCTTGGCCTGTATCACAACCACTCATACCAGGTGGAACAAAGACACAAGAAGGCTTAGTCACTCCGAAGTGTTGCTTCAGGAACAATCCCTCCCTCCTGAGCTCAGCTCTGAGAAAAGCAGCCCCCTCTCCACTCAAGCATCCCAGCAGAGACCACAGAAACCCACTTGAGCAAATCTAACCTCCGGTCAGACTCCTTCACCAGCTTCACTGCTATCAGCTCCGCCTCCCGCATCTTTTGCTCCATCAGGCGTTTCTCCTCTTTGGTTTTCAGAGCTGTGATCTCCAGCCTTTGTCGCTCCTGCTCAGCTTCTGCAGCATTCTGGGCCAGCAATTTTGCCTCCTCTTCTGCAATCTGAGCTTTCTCAGCCAGCAGCTCTGCCGCTTCTTGGGATCGGAGCTAAAAAGAAACAATTGTTCTTAGTCACCCCACCTAGCATCTACAAAATCACCCACCTCAGGAAGAGGATATCTTTCCCCAAAAGATCAAGTGACAAAAATATTATTCCTTAAAATAAATAGTAAAAGGTCTGGTGTTCCTTCTCTTCAGCTGCCAGTGCACCATGCCCCTTTCTCCCAATTTCAGCTCCAAGGTTGCTTCCTTTCTTCCCTCGTTGCCTGAAGAAAGCACTACAAACCTAATGCAGGGAGCAAATGGCTCACAGCAAATGAAGATTATGGCAGATCAGAGCTTTGCCAGGTATTCCAGCATGCCCTCTCCACCAGGAGTCAAAAACTCTCCAGCCTTTTCTGAGCCATAATTTCTGGTGTCTCA